AAAGTAATACTACTGAGCACATCTTTTGTCTACTTAGTGGGTCAAAGCAGTCATCAGATATCTTCAAAACAAATCCGCTAACTCATGGCTTATCTACCCTCTGACATTCTCTATCTTTCTACCAAGACTTAGGTATCTTGACAACAAGGGCCAAAGTTTCTATCTGTACATCTTATTACAAAGAGGAGAAAGTGTACAAGTTCCACAAGCTAGTTTTGGGTTCTCTATTAAACACCTGTAGCATGACAGGAAAGCTAAGAAGGAGAAAAATGGACAGAATCTATTTGGACTCCAAACCCAAGTAATTTCTCAGGTTCTGTGGGATTCCCACTAATGCAGCAAAAAAATAGGCATAAGGTGGTCAGAAAACACATGATTTTCACACCTTTCTGCCAGTCTTTTTATCTGGCTCTTGGACTTTCTTAAATTAACAACTGCTGGGCAGTGGTGGTGCACTCCTTTAATCCCAGCACTTGGGAGGCAGTGGCAGGCAGATACCTGTGAGGTCAAGGCTAACCCGGTCTACAGAGCGAGTTCCAGGCAGCCAAGGCTACACCGAGAAACCCTGTCTAAAAAACAAAACAAAAAAACCAAAGGGACTTAAGTTAACAACTGACTACCTTAAGTGTCATCTAAAAGAATCCTCAGATTGGGATAGCTGAATACCCTACTTTCACTGTCCCATCCTATGCCCTACATTGGCTTGGGAACCCTCTAAGAGATGCTCCCATGTCTCTTGGTTTAGACATGATATGTGCTATGTCTGGTCTGATTCCCAACCTGAGTACAGGTTTACCCATGGAAAATTCAGACATGGAGCATTTATGCTTATAACCCCAGCACTAGGTTTGGTGGAGACAGGTGAATCCCATGAACTCACTGACTGGTCAGTCTATCAAAATGATGAGTTTCAGATTCAGTGAGGAGATCTTGACTCAAAAAACAAGGTGAATCTTGGTTTTTAATTTTTATGACAGGTAGATACTACCCAAGATTTAGCTAATAAGCAACACATGCCTGCCTATTAGCCACTGTTCTTTAATATACTTGGTGAATGTTCTTTAATATTCTTGGTAAAAGTCTACAATAAATAGAGACTATGTTAATTGCAACTTTTAAAAAGGTGAGGTGCAATACAAAGAAATCAAGCATGAGCCAGTTTCCTCCCTGATGGGTCTGCTCTTATGGTGCCAGATGGCACCATGCAGGATGTTATAAAATAAAAGCATAAGAGATCTAACCCCATTTGCGAACTTTACAAATTACAATACCAGGCAAAAATATGCCCATTTATGTAATGATGACACAATTGTTATGGGGGTAACCAACCACTTCCTATTTGAGGCTTTTTCTGTGAAAAATACATGCTTAATAATGTAAACCTGGTCCAGAAAACATGACAGAAGAGGTCTTAATATCCTTCAGTGGATATTAAGCAGCTAAGGTGACTGCTTAGATGAATTGACATAGCAACAAACCACCTTCTCATTGTTTGTTTCTGTATATAACAAAAATGACCTTTAATTTAGAAAGAATGCTGGACATTTTAAAGAAAGATAAACTTTATCTTAATATCTGCCCTATTGTAATTTTATTTATTTTTATTTAAATTAAAAAACAAGCTTGCTTCTCATGTCAATCCCAGCTCCCTCTCCCTCCCCCTCCTCCCTCGCCTCCCACCAACACCTCCAAAGTCTGTCATATCATCTGGGGCAGGCCTTAGGCCCTCTCACAAACAACCTTCTAAATATCTATGTTTATACCTACAAATAAAGGCTATTTTCAGCTTTAAATGGGGGAAGTTTACAGTGAATTCTTCTTACAGCAAATGACTGCACAAAATGTTGACAGTAAAGAATAGTTGAGCTCTAAGAGCCCATTAAGGTTTACATTATCCCCTTAAGGCTCAGAAAATGGGGTGGAAAGAATGTAAGAGCTTGAGGATGGGGAGAAGGACTGTGAGATATCATCTTCCAAGCAGGACACTGAAATGGCTACCATGAACTCACATCATCTCTGCATACTGGTACCAGATTCACAAAAGTCAGGTTCTGTTAACAGTCGGCTGTAGAGGAGGAAGAAACATGGTGGTCCCTATCACATATAGCTGAACAGCAGGGATGTGACAGAGTCTCAGAGAGAGTGAAGCATGGTATCAAGTTCTGCATCCATGAGAGCCTACCAGGTCATGGCTAGATCCAACTGGGGATCACAAGAAGGTCCTGATGAAACTCTGGGGGCACCAAACAAAATCAAAACTAAGAAATAAGGGGAAGAGATTTGTAATGAATAGAAAGGGTTGGTTGAGCTGGCAAGGAAAAGGGAGAGGATGAAAGAAGGACCAAAATACATATTGTACATATATGAAATTGTGAATAAAACCAAAATGTTAGTGTAAAACAATGGCAGTTTGGTCTGTAAGATTCTTAAGTGAGTAAAGGCACTTGCCACATAACTCACAGTTGATGCCTAGAACCCATGTAAAGGTGGAGAGCACCAATTCCACAAAGTTCTTCTGTAATCTACACATACACCATGGTATGCATGTGGGTACTCACATACACACACACACAGCAGTAATAAATAAATGAAAGTTTAAAAACTTCACAAGTAAAGATCAGTAGAGGAAGGTACTCTTCCTTGACCTCTCCCTCCCCTTACACACACACACACACACACACACACACACACACACACACACACACGCATGCACACGATTCTAGGGGCTGGGGAGATGATCAGTGGGTAAAGTGCTTGCTACAGGAGCATGAAGAGCAGATCCTCAGCACCCATATAGAAGCTGGCCACAGAGCTGCTGTATACATGTATTACCCTGGCACAGGGGGAAAGGGTGAAGACAAGTGAATCCCTTGGGATTGCTAGCTAGGCAGTCTAGTTAAATTGATGAGCTCCAGGTTCACTGACAGACTCTATCTCAAACAAATAAATGAATGAGTAAATAAAATAAGGTGAAGAGCAATTAAGGAAGACACCACGTATCTGTCCCTGACCTTCATATGCACAAACACTGACTTGCATCCACACACACATATGCATATAATACATACATACATACACACACACACAGACACACACACACATTCATTTGTATAACTAAACACTTTTGGTTGGGCAATGATAATAAATATTACAAAAAGGTCAAATCCCTTCTCTGGTCTTTCTCAGCAATAAATTCCACAATTTTACAAAAAAAAACTATTCAAAGATTTCACATCAGTTTGGCAATTCAAACTGAACTGAGCCTGATAGTCATGAGTTTGTTCTGTTTTATAAATAACAAGCTCATGCAGTTATATGCCAGATTAATTCCCACTCAGATAGCTCTGTCCCCATCCAGGTCCCTGAGTTTTATTCTGTGACCATGGAATATAATTTGTTTCATTCTCACTTCTTCCTTCACTTATGTAATTGTGCTAAAAAAACCATTACCTGTTGTTATTTTACTTTAACTCAAACCAGATTCTAAGATGAGCATAGTGGTACATTCCTCCCATCGCAGCACTTGATAGGATGAGGCATGAGGATAGTAACTTGAAGCCAGTCTGAGCAATATAGTCAGAATCTGTCTAAAAAAATGGAGGAGGGGGAATGAAAGACGTGCAGGGGGAGGCAGGGACAGAGGGAGACCAGCCAGCTCTTCTTTTCCTGCAGGAAATCTTTTCAACCAAACTGGTTTGAAAATATCTTTAGAAGATCTAGATAAGTACGACATAAACAGCATCATGGTAACCCACTGGTCTGTCTCACAGACATTCTGTTATTGCTATCTATAAAGGCAATATTCAACCCCAGTGCAAAGGAGGGTATTGCAATCAATGTGTACGATGTGGTGAGATGTGGGACTTGAAGCAGTGTGACAAGTAGATAACTAATAGAATCATTCTCCCTAAGACTCATTCCAAGAATGAATGTGATAACTGAGTATTATGAACTTTATAAGAAACACTGGAGCCAAGCATACTGGCCCATGCCTCTACTACTCTCAGTGCTAGAGAGGCTGAGGTGGGAGGGTTGCCATGAATTTGGGACTGGCCTACATTGCAGAAACTTCCAGCTCAGACTCAGCTATAAATTAAGACCCTGTCTTGAAACAAAAGTGTATATAATGCTCTTCACACAGTAGCAAGTGATGAATATTTCTACCATCCATAAATATTGATTAAATACATGGAAGGACAAGTGAATAGACAATCAATAAAATAAAAAGCCTATTGCACGTTCCCATGTAGATTTTCCTCTAAACTTCTGTTTAAGGGATGGAGAAGATTGTGCTTGGTGGAGTTTGGTAATGCTGGTAAAGGACAGATTTACTCCTAGTGTCTTCTAAGTGAAAAAACCCGTGATTTGGTGAACCCATACTGTCTGTTGGCAGAATTTCTATTCCAGTTAATAGGAACCAGATCTGAAGACAGAGAGTTAGCTGAGTTCTTACCAGGAGATCATTACTGAACAATTAAAATGAAAATAAGTATTTTAGCACCTTATTGGAACAACCTGCACGGTTTCAAACCTACTCTTTTTCCATATACACCCACACCTACTCTTTTCCCATCAGACCCAAGACTTCTTGGTCAGCCTAGCACCTATCTTGGTGTCCTCTTATTTTTGATGCCTGAATGCATGGAGTGTTGCCTCCTCTCTCTTCCAAATCTACACAGCTACTCGTTCGTCAGATCCTAGTTCCAAAGCAATAGCTCACTGTTCTTTATGGAATATGGTGGAAAAACACACATACCATGACCTGCCCTCACCTAACTTCATCCTTCCCTACTAGAACGATCAGAAAGGGACCAATAGGCTAGCAGCCTCACCATCTCTCCAAGTAGTTGTGGAATAAGATAAACCCGAAGGTGTGGCTTTCCCTGAAAACCATACACAAAAATGCTGTCTAAACTGAACCCTCTTGGTAAACTCCTCCTGTAGAAAGCTTCCTTTTGATGATGGTCTTTTTCAGACAAAGAGATTGCTTTTCCACTCACCTTTTCTCCCCTTTGAACTACTGTTCTGCTTTGGGGACATATTTCAGTTCGCTTTTAATATTCTGGATCTCGGACAGGTTGACAGCAGGTCCTGGGAGTTTCTTTGCTCCAGGAATTAGCTTCTTCTCTTCCTCCGAAGTGGAAGGAGCCCCCTGAAAAGAAAGGGGAAGAAATCCAACTCACCAAAAGGATGTTTCAATTCTCTGGTTCATGGCATAGAGTAGGAAAACAAATATCAAAGGAAGAAAGTCAAAGTGCGATTCTAGCCTGGTGACTTTCTCCTGTATTTATTGTTCAGATAGCCCTAGTGTTTCAACAAAATTGCTTGAAATTTGGACAGGAATGTAAAATAATATTGTAAGGGGGAAAGTTCTTTTCACATGACTTAGGACACATTAGGCAACAGTTCAGTGCCTGGTAAATAATAAGTACTGCCAACAGTTAGAAGGAGTTGTGTTTCTCACAAAAGCATATTCTAAAAGTGACTTTAACTTAGTATCATACTATGATGGCAGAAATCTGTAAAATGTCAGTGCACAGTTAACCCTAATTAGTCCAGGAGTTTGCAAAAATTTGTTCAGAGTACGGTGGCTGTCAGCTTTTTGTCCTATGGCTCCTTTGGAAAACATAAACTCAAAAGGACATAGGAAAACATCTTTGAATATGAGAGAGGCAAGCCTTTGCCTGCTGTTTGAGCAGTTTAAATTTCCTATCATTAAAGCAATCTCAATTTTAGGGAGGGACACACAGCCTTTTCTTTTTGTGTGGCTGCTCTAGTGCCTGATGACAGAGGCTTGAATGTGTCCTTGATGATTTTCATTTAACTACCTAATCCCATAATCAGCCCGCACCTCTATGCGCATGCACCAAGCATTATAGAAAAGGACTATAAAACATTAAGATCAGTTGCTGTGTGCAGCTCCATCTAGTTACTAGAGAAGAAAACTGCATGCTAGTCTGTTCTTCCTATTTGCCTGAAAGGGAGATATTGGAGGGCATTTGATCACCCTAACAGCCAGGATTTCAATCCTTGAATCAGATTACTTCAGGGGTAACTGAGTGACTGCCCTAATTACTTGTCACTAAAATCTATCCATCACCATGCACTGGTCATGTTTACCATAGGCGATGGTAGCAAATGACTGAATACAGCAGCATCCTCAAGGTGACCCCACATACCTGGTAGACAGGGACTCCTCCCAGGAAAAACTTACGCTGGAGAGTTGGGCTTAAAGCCACACTGAGGTCTGTGTTTCTTCCACCAAGCCTCTCCCCCTTTTCCCCTGTATCTGTGTCTCAGGAACTCTCCTGTAGCTCTCCTCCCCATCTTTCCTTACAAGTGTTTTCCCCCAATAAATACTCTGCACCTTAAATGTCTGTTTCTTAAAGGGTCCTAAATAACAGTTTCTAGTGCAGAACTGTTATAGCTCCATCTGCTTAACCAAGAATTGGGTAAACCAGTGTGTGTGTGTGTGTGTGTGTGTGTGTGTGTGTGTGTGTGTGTGTGTGATGAGAAAGTCCACATTTGCCTCCTGTGAAGGACAGTGCTAAAGCTAGTGCTATGAGTCCAAGTTTAGTGCCTGCCTGTGTCTCATTCTCAAATTGGTTAGCACCTAGAGGAAGAATGTGTTCAAGCTCCCCTGAACCCTGAAAAATCACTAGGTAGATGTGTTCCTTATAGAAATGCTTTTAAATTGTTTATTAGAGAGGATGAGTAGGCATAAAAGACAGAGATTTTATTCTTCTTGTAAGGGTTAATGGGACTTCCTATAGTTATTTGCTGTGAAGCTGATACAGTGCTGATTAAATAGCTAATATATCACCCACACTAAATGATAAGCTAACTCAATGAGGATGTATCTATTGCAAATCCCTGGAAGATATTGTTCACTTAGGTCTATGTACAGAGCCTAAGCCTGGCTTCTTTTCTCCATGCAAACACATTCATCATTTGTAAGTGTAGATACAGAAAAGATCATTAAAACTGTAAAATACCCACTTGAAGAACCAGGTATTCCAGAATGTTCTTTGCTGGGCTTTCAGGAAGGAATTTTTTACAAGGCTGTAAAGTGTTGTTTCTTCTTAAATATGTGTAGCAATGAAATGAAAAATGTTTCAGCACTTATAAATGCTCCCACGGCTGGAGGTGGGCAGATCTTAATAAAGAAGCATGAAGAGAAAAATGTTTCCAGATCCTTCTGCTAAGTTCCCAGGTGAGTCACCTCCATGCTGGCACATTTAACACATATAGCCAATATCTACACTTGAGAGTCTGGGGGCAGATTAATAAGATGAACTTACACAGATTGATAATGGTAACATTTAATGCTATCACATTGTTAAGACCTCAATGGACTGTTTTTTTTTTCATTTTTTAATCAAGATAAGGCTTGGCATTTGATTTATTAAGGTGGCATATAATGGAGATTGTTACTATATGTAGTGATATTGTTTAGGAAACGGGACACATTTTTACACTGAAGTTCCACTACCTTTTAAAAACATAATGAAAATCCAATTCCTCTACTTCTGTGAATTTCCTATTATAAGAATTACAGTAAACTAAAGCATGAATACAGAGGGTTCTACTTAAATAGTGGAGGCTAGCCCTTTTCACAGGTATCTCAACTTAGCAGGGAACTAGAGGCTATTTATTCTTGGGTGTACATGAAGACAGTGTGAAGGAAACCTTATCAGCATCATTCCCCCACTTCAGTGACAGCTCTGTGAAGGGAAATGCCTGCCTTGGGAATCACAGAGGATTTGCCGATCTTTGCAGAATGGTGAAGCATTTCCAAGCTATCCCATCTGCAAGCCCTTCTTTACTACCAGATCCTACTGAGTTTTTCCCCAGGCTCTTACACGAGGCAACAGAGTTGGACCTACTCATTCCTGTTCAAAACTAAAAACTCACTGATATCAGCAATCACTACTAGTTGTTCTAAGATACACACGCTAACTCATTTCATTCTCACACCAACTCCATACATCTGCTTTTATCCCCACCTCACCAGTGACACTAAGGTATGGAAAAGCTAAAAAAATAAATAAATAAAAGTAAAAAATTTTCCAAAGCCTCTCAACTAAGAAGTGACTGGACTAGAATTAAATAATATGTTTGCATCTTGTGAAGGGACAAGATGAAAGGAAATATTTAAGAGAGAGTCCCAATGTACTATTATGTAGCATAATAAGGATAATGATATTTCAGTTAAAGAGTGCTTTGGAGGCTTAGAAATGGCTCATTAGAACCCTCAGATGACTTGAAATAAGCAGCTACTTTTCTTACGCAAGAGGATTTGGATAGAAGACCCCTGTATCTGGTACATGCCAAGTATGGAAGGTACATTCCATATCTGTAGGCAAAGCAAAGGGCTGGTCAGAAGCCACAGGTGCACAAGAGACAGCCAATGGTCCCAGACCTTGTCAGAAAGCCAATGACCCAGGCTCTTTTTTCTGCTGGGATACATCCATTTGTTCCCTTCTTAGAGGATGTCAAGATCAAAATATCTTCTGAATTTACCTGGGAGTCTAACTGGCTAGGCTGGAGGTGAACTGTTCTGGTTACTGATGGTGTGCTACAAATCATACATTATACTATAATTCTGTTAGCATGAGACTTGGCAATACATCCTAAATCTATGAATGTAAGCAATTCTTAGTTTGTAAATAGAGATTACAGTAATAAATGTGGCTATGGAAGTTATTCTGAATTCACATTCATGTTTCTCCTTCAAACTACACCACAGAAGGTAGCTAGGGCCTCAAGCCAACCCACAAAAATCCTACTTAATGCACCTTGTAGCTAAGACAAATTACCCAACTACTCCTCTTGTAATGTTTCTCTGGGAAATTTATTCTGAGGACCGAGCCAGAGTTTGAGCTACGAGGTCACTTCCTCCCTCAAACCCCATAAACACTAAGAGTCCCTATCCGTTTGTTTTGGATAAGAGACAGCATTAGCTCTCTGGTCTACCCAATGAACCCCAAGAACAAGGAGTGGTACAATGCATAGGACATCTCTAGGGTCTTGGGATCTCTGTGGATAGCTCATTATCTCTGCCGTCAGAGGAATATCAATTGGCCATTTGGATACACGAGTGGTTAGAAAGTATATCGTCACAAACCAAGTGATATAGGTCCCTGGTGGTTTTATACAGTGTGTCAGAACCATCAGACTAGGGACAATAAACAATTGAAAAAAAGTGCTTCCCTAGCCTCCTAAGCAAGATACTCATGTGTACAGGAAAGAACCCAAGGATGACTGCTCCACAGAGGGAAGATAAGTGAGCCCCACACCACTGTGACATCAGCCAATTTCATGAGAAAAGAGGACAAAGGTACCCTCTGACTATCTATTGTCATAGTGACAGACACAGCTTCAGAGGAAGGCGAGAAAGGAAAAATACAATGGCAAATAAAGGGAGGTGAAGGCAGAGTCCCATGGCCATCCATTAAACTCCTCATGCTTCTTTTTTACAATCTGCAGAGCAAGAGGCCTGTAGTCTTTCATGAAAATTGGATAGTAAGGACAATTTCTGAAGAACTGCTTATTTATCAGAAACCTACCAGACTATACCTCATCCCTTATTCCATTCATTCCTTCCTGGCAGCAGCCCTCTGAGGGATGGAGGAGATCCTGCTTGGCTCACACCAGCTCATATAGACCCAAGTCCCTGACACAAGAATTAGTAGCTAATATCCCAAATTTTGGTGATGCTATTCCAATACTTCACTTCTTCCTCTCCAAAAAAATGGCTTGCTTGGAGGCTAAACCCAAGGAGCTAAGATCACGATCAGGAAATTGTATAGATGAAAAGGTTAGCTTTAGGACTAAGGTCATTTTAGGGAAGTTTGGAGTAGTGGACCAAATATATAAGCCATAAAAACCCCTTACCTTTTAAAATGCCCTGATTTTTGTGTTAGTGAAATGATCTTAATCCCACCTCCCTCAGAGTCAGCCTTCTCACATTTGAGCAGAGACATCACAGGCAAGTAAATGCATAGACCCGAGGAGGGTACTTGTTTCTTTTTGTTGCATTTATTAGTTTTTGTCTCTATTTAGCAAGATATTTGAATTGGGCAGGGAGCTAAAGGATAGGGAAATACAGGGAGGGAGACTAGATAGATGCTTTTGGAAAGACTTCCTTTCAAAGGAAGATCAAGATGATTGTTTGAATCTGAAAGTAATACAATGCCCTTACTTACTGAGCTAAAATCTCGCATTAGAAGCTGCACCACACACAGCCAGCTCAGTTTAATCAGACCCTTCGTAAAACTTACCAAACGAGTGACTCGTGCTAGCCTCAAAGCACCTGTGCACAAAATCAGTTGACAAGTGGAAGACAAGCTTGGATCTTCAAGCAACTTTGTCAGACACTTAGCCCTGGCTGCAATGGAAGGGAGGCCCAGAATTTCCCTGTTAACTAAGAAACCTTGCCTCTGGGAAGACTCCAGAGGAAACAGGCCTTGCTTATCTCTGTTAGCTGTCTTCCTCACCTCCTCTGCCTCAGGAGTACACTCTTTCCTTCTAGGAGGCTGCCCAGCTCCTGGTCGAAAGGCTCCCATCGGAATATTGATATTTGCCTAAAAGAGAAAACAGAGTAAATTTAGCTTAAGAATAGGAAGAAATTGCACTGACATTCTAAGACAGCAATCATCGCGAGGGAAATGGTTCTGAAAAGTACATCTTCAAAGCTTTTGATCCAAAGAAAATTGCTATAACAACAGCACAAAAATATGCAAAGGAAAATTTCACTTCCACTTTCACACGTTCCTGGCATTCATCCTTAGGTCTGTGCTGTGATTTTATAATTCCTGATTGGATGGAAGAAATTTTGAAGACAGTTTGTTCTGGCTGTTGCCCTCCTGCAATGCATTTTATTTTCCCCTTTCGGTGATGAGGAAGGGACACATAATAATAGGAAAGGGGGAAAGAGCATCCCCAGAAGTTAGATCACGTTTCGTTCTCCATCAGTTTCCTATATATGTACAAAGATGAGGGTGCTTTCACGCGTCCTTAATTGGCACCTCCTTTCTGTATCATTCTGGCATGGCTCTAGCATCCCCTCAGGTTTCTGAGCCGACATTCTATCTTCTCCCAACACTATCATGTGTGGGACAGTGAAGTAAAGGGACAGTGCTATAAAATCAACTTCTTTTTTAATAAAAAGTCAATCATTGTCCTTTAATAAGAAGAAGCACTAATCTAATTCAGTGCCAAGCATAAAATACCTTCTTGTAAACATGAAATATTTCAAATACTAAAATATCTAAGAATATGTTGACACAGTAATTTGAACTTGAGAAGATAATACGCAAATTTAAATTTTACCCATATTTCTACAGACATCAAAAGGTGAAAATGTTTAGTACATACCAAAAATGTATTAAAACTAGTCATATTTAAAAACTAGATTGAATTTTTCCTCTGAAGATTAAATGCTGCCTTATAAGTAATTGGATACATGGGCTTTAAAAGGTGAAATTTCATTTTGATATGAGTGAAAATGATGCCTAAGGAAAAGGAGCAAAATGTTTTGTTAACTTATGAAACAGAGTTGATTATTTGGGTAAAACACCATTGAACTTAAGAAGTCCATTTGGAGTCACCTGTTATATGCTCTGTCCCAGAGTAATGATTAACCCATAACATAAGAAATAGCCAGTTTCATGGTTCACATGACATGGCAGGTCTACGTTTTACCTCCAAAGAAAGCAGGCTTGAAAACTCCTTTGTGCTAGAATAATGCTGATCCCACAGGAAGGAAACAAGTTTCGAAATGTTGGTGGCAAATTAGAAAGAAAGATACATCATTTTGATTCCAAGAAGTATTTTCATCAGCATATATCATAAGAGAGACACACATGATTAAGGGAAAGATGGAGCTTATAGTCTGGCAAATATGGAACAAAATTTCATGAATCTCATGAGATCATGATCTTATTATGTTGCCTAGGCTGCCCTCAAGCTCCTACACTCAAGTCATCCTTCCCTCATCGGCTTTCAACAACTGAAATATCAGGAAGGCATCACCTCTCCAGCTCACCTCTTATAACTTTAGTAGGCATAATTCCTTTATTTCTTAGGAGGACATAAAATAATGCTATTCACTAGGAATACCCATTTAGGACTCATGAGACTCTCAGTTAGATCCGGCACCACAAAGAGTCAAAACTGAATAAAATAGTAATAGCATTTCACATTTATCAATATTTAGATAGAATGACACACATAGAGGCTTGAAATAAGATCAAAAGAATGTGAACAGACTCAGAGATGATGATCTATATTGGACCAATGGACTACTTCCTCCACAACATTTGAGAGACTCTCATGGGGGATGTTCTTCTGTTTATGTCTCTCTTATTAGTTGATGAATAAAACACTGTTGGTCAATAAGGTAGGAAGATAGGCAGGACTAGGACAAGGAGAATTCTGGGAAAGGTAGGCAGAAAAGCACCAGGACAGTCACCATGTGAGCTGCCAAAGGAGTTAAAGATCTGGACCCTTCTCCAGTAAGATAAGACCACATGGAAATACATAGATTGATAGAAATAGGCTAATAATTAATACAGAGCTAGCCAATAAGAAGCCTTAGTCACCAGCCAACAATTTTATAATCAATATAAGTCTCTGTATGTTCATTTGCGTGCTCAAGAGCAGTGGGACCTGCCGGGCCAAAAACTGTCCACAAGACTCATTGACTATTTGAGAGGAGATTAATTAATTAAAAGTTCAGTTAGAGCCATTTGTTGTGCCACATACTTGAAATCCCAGCACTTGGTGGTTGAGGCAAAAGGATTACAAATTTGAGCTACAAGGAAAGACACTGCCCCCTTCTGAAAAAGAAGTTTATTTTAAAGCACCCCATTAAACCAATTTATTATTAATCAATGGGAGGTAACTTCCAAGAGTGAATTTGGGTTAAAATACTGTTTCTGGAGAATCTATATTTAAGCCATTTAATCAAGATTATGTTTTATAACCAAATGTAGTTTTCAGTAAGGAAACACACAAAAGTGATACTTAACAATATAATAGTTTATGATATGGGGTGATAACATTTTCATGTTTGAAGATCAATTTTGGAACCTCTTGTAGCCTCCCCATAGATAGTTTATAAGAGCGAAGCAGAGCTGGTAGTTGTTATAGATTCTCTGTAATTGAAAAAGTGACAGCTGTTCTATGCTTTATTGTCGCATTTATAGGAGAAATAATTTTTAAGCCACCTAACCATGGAAACTTTCCTTCAAGTGAAGCAGTGCAAGGACGTCAAAAATACAAAATAATATTCATCAAAGAAACTTCCCTTTGCTACAGATAGAGAGCGTCACAGAAAACAACAGCTAGTCAAAATGCAGAGAACAACCGAGCATAGGGTGTCCAACTCTTATGAATACATCTACAATACAACTCCTGCATGTAAGGCTAAGACAACATCACAGAAGAGGGTGAAGAAAGATTTAAGAACAAAAGGACCAGGAAATCGACTGTTAAATTGTATCTCCCAGAAATAACAGGGAAATTTCATCCAGGATACCTCAGCAATACGGCTGCCTAATGAAGACCTAAACAAGGTCAACACCAATAGACATGCTAAAACTGAAAGGAGAGATTCCCACCCCTAGACAAAGAACTACAGGCAACGGAGGAATGTTGAGACTAGGAAAAATAGTCTTCCCTAATAATGAGTCCCTTAATTGATTATCTGATACCTACTGGTCAGCCCTGAAATTATATACATACGAGTAACACTAAATTTGACTCAACAAGCTATATTTAAATATTTATACATATACATATATGTAACGATAGCAATTGAAGGAAAAGGCCAAGGAGAAGGAGCAAGGGATGGAGAGAGGAAAGGAAAGAAGAGAAATATGCAATTGCATTTTAATTAAGATGCATATTACTGAACAAAAAGTAAAATGCAAAATAGGTAGAAAGGAGGGTTTACAAGCTTTTCTTCGCAACACTCTGTGAAGTTAAGATCATCATTGTTTTACTAATAAACAGATTAAACCTCAAGGGGCTTTGAGTTTATGATCAAGGTCACATATACAGTACAACAAACAAAGGCCACATTTCCAAATCAAACTTTTAGAGTTAACATTTTTGCTCTACCAATCCAGTCTCCCAAGAGTTCTTTTCTCTTGGCTAAAGTTAGCTCTAGCCATCTCTAAAATCGAAGACTTACACTTTGAGAGTGACCTTTGCAAAGGAGAACAAAAAATGCATACTTCTGGAATAGATGCCAAACAAAAGCTACATTGAAAAAATGAGCCATTAACTCAATGACATGACACTTTTTCTTCTTGAAGGCATCACTCAAGAAATCAGGAACCTAAATGGGTTTTAGAACAACAAATATTGATGGGAACAAAAGTAGCCTGAAAACATGTTGAGTGGCCCGTCATTACCGTGCATCAGTAAGGCAGTATAAGAGCAGTGCTTTGTCAACTGTGTCATGCACTACACTAGTAATAAGATAATTAGAGAGACTTCATTATAATAATTGTAGGGCAGTGGTATTTGAGTGACAAATTATAGGCTACATTATAGCCATAGGGGGAAAAATCCTTACAACTTAAATTTGTTGGGAAAGTGTAGACCTGTAGATCAGTTTTTTTTTCTTCTATCAGCGAGAAAACTGGGTCCTATTCTTGCATTTTCACTGTCTTGCTCTATGTCTGAATATAAATAAGATACTTTTTCAATCACTCAGTACTTCTATCTGCAAATTGGGTAAGGTATTTGCTAGTCAAATTGTGTATAACGAAAACTATATTTTTGAGCTTTATTTTTTATTTTTTCAACATACTATTTTTATTTATTCTTTGGGGATTTCACATCATACATCCTTATCACATTTGCTTTCCAGTACTTCCTTATTCACTGTCAATTTTGTGACCTCCCCCCAGCAAAAAAAAGTTCAATTTGTGATAGATATATATATACTCACTGGAGCATAGTCAAACTCTCAGTGGCCAGCCTCTTAAATACTGAGTCTTTCCCCTCCCACACACCTACTGGAAACCATCTATTGTGGAGAGTGACACTTCAGCATACTATCACAGTTTTTAAGAGTTCCCTTCCATGGCTTCCTATTTAGGCTGTTACTATTTCTTTTCATTGGGTAGGGTGGGGTAGAAGTAGTGGATGCCACAGAAGTCTTCCACGTCTTTCTTTCTCAACTGTGCATCTGCAGTCATTGATATCACTGCCAAAGCAGCTTATTTGCTCTATGGTTCAGAGAAACATGGATCATGGCCTCTCCGTGGTTTCTGGTATCAGCACAGATCACAAACAGGGCTCGTGGTTGCAGCAGGGCCACAGACCCAGACAAGGCCCTTGGGTGCAGCAAGGGACCATGGACAATCAATATGGCTTCAGGCTGCTGCAATGATCATGGACATTTGCTTGGTCTTCTATGAAAACACAGGCCATAGATATGAACACAGACCCCAGCTGCAATACGACCATGGACCCCCAACATTCTTACTGTGGATAGGTCTGTGTTGATGTCTGTGACCCAAAGGTCACACAGATGTCTGAAGTCTGTGCTGCAGCCTGAAGTCATGTT